AAGCATATCCTTCAAATAAAAAAAGCAAATGAGAACATTTTCATATTTAAAAAACTTGGAATAAAACATTACTTTACACATTTTGTCAAATAACTTGGATATTTTTTTGAACTTGGCTCAGATAAAGTGAAACAGGAAGTGACATTAAAGGTGAACTCTGTAAAAAGAAAACTCTGGTTTTTCCCTCAGAAACTCATTGAAGCAATAAATGAAGAAACATCAGATTCTTCTCTACAGTCCGTTGATAGCTACTGTAACAACGCTCTGTTTACATTCAGACTTTCCCCTTTGACATCACTTCCTGTTAGTTCACATGCAAATATCTCAACAACCGTTCATCTCAGTACCATAAAATTTCTTTTGCAATATATTATTTACGTAATCTTTCCAAAAATGCATTCATGTTGATTACAAAAAAATTATGCCACAGGTATTTTAACACACTGACTGACATAAAATAAAATCCAAGACAAATTATTCTATGAAACATTATTAACATTATTATTTGCATTTACCCACCTCACTCTGAAGTCTGTCAGCCGACTGACAACCGTCCCGTCCAATGAGGCTGATGCAAAACGTGAAGCGGCCCAATTATCCTGTCAGCCTCATGCTTCTCTGCCAACACACACATATTTACACACATGACTGAGTCACCAGGTTGTGCTGGAGCTGCTTAGGTACAATAGAACTTGTGAAATCAAGTCAAATATTTTGTGTGTTTATGCTGAGCTGAACAACCTGTCTCTGGACGTCCTGTGTCCCTGTCTTCAGTCAGCGTGGAGCAGTCAGAGTCACAGCACTCACACAGAGCGCTGTCTCCCTCTGTGGCACGCCACCTGAACCACAGGAAACCTTTAACTGAAGCAAACATTACTGCTACACTGTAAAAAGTATAACTCTGTCATCCTAACCTGAACGTAGGACTGTGGAAGAAGCAGGATTTATTCTGAGGACTGGCAGATGTTTGTTTCAGAGTGGCTCGAAGATGACAGCTGATGAACATCTGGAATAAGAACAAAAACAGGTTAGATTGGAATACAAACAGTAACTACAGCAGCAGTGATGAACTACCTGCTCCTCTGATGAGTGGTTGAAACGAAACGCTCCGATGCTGAAGCACAGTTTGTTGTGTTGAACCCGAGGCAGGAACCTGGAAGAAGAACCTGGCAGGACACTGTCCATAAGACAGCTAAAAGAAAGTTTACATTAAAGGGGACCTATCACGCAAAATTCACTTTTTAAAAAGGTTTTTTTTACTCAACTTTGGGTAAGTACTTCTTCTTAAAAAAACAGTCCTAGGACCAAAAAAAATGCACCCAGGGGCATATTTACTGTAAGTAAATGTATTTTTAATGTGTATTAACGACAAGTTTTATACTTCCGTCATTTTGTGATGTCACAAGCCGTACGACAACCCACCTGAACCTGTGTTCAGCCCCTTACCTAGCAAGCCCCGGGTGAGACTCCACCTCCTCAGTATAAAAAGCCGTCACCGTGTTGTTGTGCAATGTGTAGCTCATTTCACAACAAGTCTCCAATAGGGCAATGGGTAGAGTGTTGGACCAGAGAGTGGGAGACCAGGGTTTGAGAACGGCACGGACACAGKKWMAYTATTTATTTATTTTCATTCGTTATGAACACGTTTTCTCATGTACCTCTATTGTTTAGCTTATTAAAACCTTGTTAAAGCCTATTTGTTCGAGTTTCTGAGGTATTTTGACCGCTGCTGCTCCCTGCTCTGGTAACAGCATGCAGAGTGAGGGCAGAGCAGAGGAGGGGGAGAAAAAAAAAGAAGCTGGGACCACGACTCTGCCTCTGGGTCTCATATGGTTGTACAACGGAGCTTCTGCTATTATTAGCCATGCTAACGTAAACGCTGGCTTTGGAGGGCGGAGTTAATGTCAACAGATTTTTGGAGGGCGTTACCAACAGAGCTCATTAACATAAACAGCTCTTCTGAACGGAAGTCAGAGCAGGCAGAACTAGAAAATGGGAAATTTTATTATCTGACAATTATTTTGTGCATTAAATTGAATGAACATGGTCTGGATAGCCCACAGACATACCATAAACATTTCTAGGACCCATAATTGGTCTCCTTTAAAACATGTGTCAAGATGAGGTGTTGCAAATTAAAAGTTTAGCTCCTAAGAACTCTATTTGAATAATAAGTCATAATTTAATGATTTGTCTGTGTATTTAATGATTTATCTGTGTATTTATTGTTGCAAACAGCTGGTTTAAAGGGAAACTGACCCACGGTTGGTGATGAACTCGTAGCTCGGCACTGAAAAAGGGTCAGGCTTCACTGCAGCAACACAGGAGTCCACAAACAGAGCCAGAGGAGGGTGCAGAGGAGCCTCCACTCTGGCCTCCAAAAACACAGCTGCCCCCTGCTGGTACACTGAGGAACTGCGTCGAGATGAACAATCCTCTGAAACAGAGCATTTTATTTACAACTCAAATAATCCAGTCAGAAGCCACGATTCTACACACTACTGCCAGATTATGTTGAGTAAGACTTTACCTGCCATGGTGTGAAGGGAGAAGTGCAGAAGACCAAAAGCACTGATGGTGGAGGTCAAGGGGATCCAGGTCGGTACCAACGGTTCTCCTTTAACCGTCTGCTTCCTGCGTTTAAAACATTAAAGTGTTGTTGACTTTACTCCAGTTAAACCAGAACACATCTAATGGTTCATCACCTCTCATAGTGACACTCCACAGGGATGACAATGGTTGTTCCTCGAACGATCACACTTCCTGTCAGAGTAGGAAGCACAGCTGGAAACACGAACAGCTGATTGGAATAAACAAGCCACTTCCCATGAACCTGAAAAATACCAACAAATAAGAAAAATATGAACTTTTACTTAGTTTAAGATTGTTTTTAAATGTTACGGCTTTGTGTCACAATTTGGCTTTGTGTGCGTTAAAAGAAATAATTTTGTACTTTATATTTTCAGTGACATTTAAATACAAACCTATTTTTCCATCTGTGAAAGTGAAACGGCACAACTCCGAATGGAACCATTAAACAATGCTCTTTGGGTGAACAAACACTGTCCAACCTTTTCTGGATCCAAAGTGCAATATTTATTTTTGACTGCAGGATTATTGTCTGCATGTAAATCAATCTGATCAGCTGTATAGACACCAGTCTTTGAAACTGTTATGTATATGAAATATGCCTGTTTTTAAAATCTATTTTGTTGGTATCGCCCCGCCCCTCATAAATAAATAAATAAAATAAATGCAGCAGAACTTCGTGATCCCAACGATATGCGACAATCCTTGATCACATTCTGAGCAACTTTAATGAAAATCAGTTGACTTTCAAGCAGTTTCTGAAGCCCCACAAATAGGACAACTTGTCAATTTACTTCTTTATTTCATTAAAACTGCATAAATAACTTATTTCTCAACTAATTTTAACAACGTTATATTATATTATTTTATTTTTTATTTAGCTGCATCCAATAAATGGGTTTTGATACAATTTGTAAACTTTTTTTTTAAATCACAAACCTAAACTTAGGGGTAAAATATGCAAACACTAAAATAAGGCCAACTTAAGGGTTATTGTGAGGAGAAAAAAACAAGTTTATTGACTAATAAAAAATTGATCTAATCACAATTATAATAAAAAAATAAAATGCATTTAGTTGATAATTGTTTCAAGAGCCCAAACTTGATGCTTGCAGTCCTAAGGTGTCCCATGCCATTATGAACCACTGACCTGATTAAAGTAAAAAAAGGTGTAATTCGGTCATTTTCCCACTAGAGAGCGGTAAAAACACGGTCAGCAGAAGTAAACCACAACTCAGCGGATGGGGTTAATATTACAGTACCTGAACCAAATTAAAACTTTTTCATTTTTTTTTCGAGGGAGTTAAATAAATGTCCTTGCATTTCTTCTGCTTTCTGTAAAGTTTTAAAACAACGTCAACCTTCCAGAGCCCAAAGAAACAGACTCCTGTTTAAACCAGACTCAGAACCAGGTGTTCCTACCCTGGACTCGGTCCCGCAGTCCTGAAGTCCGGCAGAAAGAACCATCTCGGTGTCAGATACCGGTGTCTCTGGTCCACAGGAGCTCCTCTGGGAGGAACCGAGTCCAAGTCGAAGAAACTCTGGTTTGAACGGAACCCGTCTTTGTTTGAAAAATTGTCTCTTCACTGTTACTGTAACTCTGGTTTCTCCACACCGGATGTCCAGTCCGTCCACTGGAACTCTGTTTTCAGCTGAAGAAACGTCACAAAAATAAATAAAAATGATGAAAACCGTTAGGAGTCTTGTAAATTGGATCATAGTCGAGAGAAAAAAAAAAGTACGATAATTACTTATTGCAGACAGGTGCGCTCTAATTGTTTACATCCGTGATGCGTTCAAAGACCTAAAACAATCTCGTAAAACACAAAACGTTGTTATCACAGATCGACGCTTGTCTTTAGAATTTGTACCAGAAATATAAAGTAGTCAACTTTTTTCCCCACATTTTATGGCACCACAGCTTTATTAAAATGTTAATTTTTTGAAAATTAAATTAGCCTATTTTACAAATAAAAGTACGTTTACAACATTTTAACAGAATATGAAAATAACTCCTGTCTCATTGGTTCCTCTTTGCATTTAAAAAAGGACTGCAGCTGAATGAATGAATGAATAATAAATAAATAAATAAATAAATAAATAAATAAATAAATAAATAAATAAATAAATAAATAAATAAAATTGTAGATGAAAAAGGAATTTTTAAAATTGGTGTAAAACTTGAAAAAACAAATGAGTCTAAGCATTATTGAGAGTGGCAACTAGTCAACCAGGCTTCAAACTGCTTAAACATAATCAATGCCTTTATTTATCCATCCACAAATATCTATACAGCACTCTATTACATCTCTACAGAGATAATGTAATTAAATCCACCCATAGAGTATAATCAGTGCTTTAAACTGCGATCATGCACTGATAGGGAACATTTTAGGCAATGGGGGTTTGGTGTGTTAACCGTTCCTGCTCAATCTGCTGACCGTGGTCTGAAGACACAGGGGAGATGTTTCTCCAGGGCCGAAGTTTCCAGTTCGGGGTTAACTCCCTCACACGCCTTTAACATGAATCACGCGGTGGCACGGAGATGGTTGAGGTTAACTTTTAATAACTCCAGCATAACAGGTGAAAGCTGCACAGACTTTTCTTACAGCCGCTGCTCCGGTCGTCATCTACACACTCTCTTTTTCCTCACACACACRCACYGTCTCTCTCTCTCTCTTCCAGGACGCAGGGGTTCTTTTTAGTATGCAGCGCCCCCTTCAGACCGGRGGACGACTGCCACACATCTCTTGCACCCGCACAACTCACTAAGCTAAGCATCACATACAGTGGAGGCACTTTCCGCAACAGGTGTATTGCATTGCCCAGGGACATTTTGTCAAATGATGAAGAAAACATCATCAAGGCCTTGTTTACATGTGGAAACGTCAGTGTTTTTCAGTGCTGAATGTTGCAAGTAAACACGAAAAAAAATTAAAGTAAAATTACAAATAAATTCATATCGATGAATCCACTGTAGTTTCCATGACATGCATGGTTGCCAGATAAAAAAATGATCAAACTGTTGCTTTAAAATGATTGTATTTTGACTCAAACAATCATCTTGGAATGCTCTCCCGGTCCATCTGCACTCCCTGATAACACTGACACCTTTAAAAATCAACTAAAACACATTTATTCACTCAAGCATTTAGCTAAGGGTATCCTGCCGTCCACAACATGATCCTTAACCTAAACTTCCATGACCACAAAACACGTATTTTTCTTCAGACTGGAATCCTTTCATTTACATTTTTATACGCCATGACCATCGACTCCAATTATCTACATGCAAGCCTATCTATTGTATATACCTTAATTACTTTTTTCTCCATCATTGTTATTCCATGCCCCTTACTACTGTATTCCAAAAATTTGAGAATGTATTGATCGGAATTTCATCATTTGTAATGTAATTGTCAAGTATTTCTGTTTTTTTTTTATCTGTTTTTGATTTTTGTGCGGCACCTTCTGAGTATCAACTCTTTCTATATAAATGATTATTGTACAGCACCTTGTGAATTCCATTTCTGTGAAAGGCGCTTTATAAATGAAAATTTTACTTACTTACTTACTGTGCTCAGTTAGGGTGCACTTTTTTAGAGGGAGGAGGTTATAAGAATAGTTGTGTGTTCTGTTTGGCCAAAATGTGCCCAGATAAAGCATAATAAAGTCATTATTGTATATCTGGAAACACTAATGCTCCACTTTTCAACAAGTCACACAGACAGTCTCTGCATGAAGAGAGTTACATCCAAAACAGTGAGGTCAGTTAGCACGAACAAGTCTGCGCTCTGACATTGTAACTGTTGTTCATTTTCTTGTGCAGGAGCAAAAATCTCCACTCTGAGAAGTGAGAATTCAAAAAGCTTCCATTTATGAAGATATGAGTGTAGTGATAGTGAACAACAAAACGGCAGCAGAAAAGTTATATTTAACTCAAAATTGCAGCTGTTTAAAGCAGTGGTTCCCAAACTTTTTATCTTCTGACCCACAAAATATCCATGGCAAAAACTTGTGACCCCAAATATTACTGGTCTGAGTACATACGTAAACTTCATTAATAACCCTAAAAACACAGGTTTTTTGACAATCTAAACAGCTTATACACAAATACAAATACTTATTTATACTTATTTTGTGTTTTTGTAATAATTATAGGGAAAATATTACATCAGCAATTATTTTATTACCCTTTAAATTGATTTCTGGAGATTATCCAAGGTGCTTCATGACCCATAATTGGGTCCCAAGCCCAACTTTGGGAACCAAAGTGCAGTGGTTCCCAAACTTTTCAGCTTTTGACCCACAAAATAACAGTAGCAGAGACCTGTGCACCCAGCTATTTTTGGATGATAAACATTTGTATCAGGTCAACAAAACATGGGCATAGTAACAATAGTTTTATACTGCATTTATCCATTTTAAATATACTAACCTCACTCCTTTGTAACAACTAAGGCAAAAATGTAATTAATTCAGAAAATCTTTTCAGGACCCCACCTTGATGTTTCGGGACCCCAACTTTGGGAAACACTAGTTTAAACTAAGCCTTTAAATCTCTTATTAAAGTACGCTGAGATGGGAGTGTTTAATTTTCTACTAATGACACTCCAACTTTTTACATTTACACTCTGATCCAAGGTCAACTTCCAAGTCTGCAGTCATGTAACGTTTACAGTGCTAATAAAAAGTATTCACTTCCTTCTATGTTTTTTTATTATTTATTATATTTAATTATTTATTTTCCTTTAACCAGGCAAATCCCAATGAGATCACAGTTCTTTTTTGCAAGGGAGACCTGAAGGTCAATGTTTTAGACTGTGGGAGGAAACCAGAGCACTTGGAGAAAATATGAGGGGAACATGTAAACTCCACACAGAAAGACCTCAGGTCTGAACCCAGGACCCTCTTGCTATGATGCAACAGTGCTAACAACATTGTGCTGTCAGGTTTTTATTGCTGTTATAAATGAGTCATGGACCATCTAGTAGCCTATTTTTTTAATATATGTAAAACAAAACATATTGAGTGTTAAAGTCAAACCTCTTATGAAGATCACACTCAGATCTACCTGCAGCTGAAGAGCAATTATTGATTTGTATTGAAATCCCTGTTTGAGTTCCTCACTGATCAGCACTTCTACAGACCTGGGTAGCCTAGGGAAGTTAGCAGTAAAATTTTTAACCTTGAGAAAGAGGTAAATTGAGTTAAAAGGGTTATTTTAAAATCGAGGGAATTGAATACAAATCATGTTTAAGGAATTTGAACGGGTTATACTTTTATTGGTTTTATTAGATTCTATTTTATTACTGTACCTCTGTATCTTTGTGTTAGTCAGGTCAGCCTCTGACCTCTCAGTAAATAAAGTAAAGCCCCTTTATGTATTTTATCTGCCATTAAACAGAGACTGGCAAAGGGAGTCTCTCAAAGCGCAACTTTGACAAGCGTCTGACCTTGAAGTGAACAAATGTCCAACTTGAAGCATTGGGCATGTTTTCAACGCCCAAATCATGTTCGATGTGAACACACAGCATATTTCTCTTTCCTCTCCATCTGGCCATGCACAGTTTGTTCATAAAATACATAAAAAGTGCTGAAATCGCTTTATATTGAAGTTTCACATATCAAATATGTGACTGGCCACAGGAAAACCAGCAACAAGTCTCCCCGGGGAAGTTTTGAGTTATTAACATAATCTGAAAGTGTGGGTTCTAAGCTATCCAATGATGTCAAACACATGGCAATCTGAAAAAAAGAAGAAGGTACGGCCATTTGAATGTTGTAATCTGCAAACAAGATTAGGGAGAAAACAGGCCTCAAAGTTTCAGAGGAGTTGTCCCCACCAGAGAGTGCTTCCTGGAGGTGTTAACAATGGTTGTTCAGTTACATTAATTTGTATTAACTCCACCCCCAAGCACCGACTCAACACATGTAGGCTCTAGGAAAGTGTGCAGACAAAAACTCAAAAGGCTCACAAGACTGAAGCTTGATTTTTGTAACACCACAAGCATGATTACTATTTAAAAAGTACACACACAGAGCCGCCAACTCTCATGCATTGGGCGTGAAACACGCATCTGAGTCTTCACACGCTCTCACGCCACACTCCCAATTTCTCACGCTGAGAACTGACTAAAGCCAATAACTCAACTCCACTTTTTTAGTATAAAAACACACATATTAACAAAAATCCAGTCCACCTTACCACTGCAACCTGTGGTGTTACACACAAGGACATGCCAGGTTGTTGTCCAGTCTGTATTTTTGCACCAACCTTCCAGCTACCTGTAAACAGTCTGCAGTAGAGCGGGAGAAATGCAAACGAAGCAGCCCGGTGTGTGCCCCCTCCCAAATTAAAAAAGGAAAAAGAAAAGATGTGAGCTGTGTGGGTTAAATTAACCAACATGTTAGAAAGAACGGAGAACGAGATGTATGGAGCAGAGAAACTAAGAGGGGAAAAGGAAAAAAGTTTGTGCGAGATGCAGCCAAATGAGTTAAATAAACAGATGTTTTCTGTGATGAAGGGGCCGAGGTCAGGCTGAAGCCGGGCCAGAGACACACAGACCCAACAGAACCAGGTTAGCAGCTCTACACGCACCATCATCCCAGACTAAGGTTATGTGTGTTTGTGTTTCTGAATGTGTTCAAGGCTCACAGAACATTAAACATAGCAGATCAGGAATGTTACACCATAAATCTTTAATCTGTTGAAATAAATTATAATCAGTCCATACTGACTGACCAGAAAAATAGTCAGTTTCTTTATTGTAAAAGAAAATATATATCAAGTAATAATCTGTTTTTTTCTTCTGTTGCTACATTAATATATTGTTATTTTTTACCAGCTCAAGAAAAATACATTTCACTGAGTAGTTTATCTTCTGTGTGTGTGTGTGCATATGGGAGTGTGTGTGTGTGTGTGTGTGTGTGTGTGTGTGTGTGTGTGTGTGTGTGGCTTTTCTTAGATATTTGTATTATAACACTGAATTCTTTGCAAAAGGGCTATAAATGGATGATTGTTGCTGGTAGTGTTATTGGCAGCTGAAAAGGCCAGAGTCAGTCATGGAGTTTGATTTCAGTCATAGAAGTGAAGAGGAGGAGGAAGAGACAGATGAGGAAGAGGAGATGTAAGCGTAGAGAAGGAGAATAAAGAAGAGGAGAGGGAGCAGGACCCACAAGAAAACAGTTCCAGCTTCTCTGGAGGTTGGTTTTTGTTCCTTAATATTTCTTGATTTTTATGAAAAGCTGCTTGTTTTATAAGCTTTTATAAACTGATTTGTATTTTTATTTGTATCATTGAACACATAGGCTACACACAAACACAATGGTTTTGATTATAGAAAAACAGTTTTTTTTACTGCAAATCAAGTAATCGTGTTAAAAATCAGGTATTCATGTTAAAATTATTGTTCCATTTGCATCTGTCGAGCAATCAGATTAAAGGCTCCAAACCAAGGTCTCAGGCTGAATTAAACCTCAGCCTCTCCTGACCTTGAGTGAAAAATCTCTGACTTAACTCGTAACATTTTTGGCTGAACATAAATCATAAAATACTTTTCATAGAATTCTACAGTTGCTCTAACATAACATCTGATCAAGAAGATGTTTAATATGGACATGTTCAAACTTTAAAACTAGTCATCACAGTCATTTTCTAGTGTAGGATGTAGCCAACAGGATGCAGGAACAGGTGAAACTCCCCTACACCAACAACCCCCAACC